GATATTTACAGCATATATACTTGACATCTAGATCTACTGTAAGCTAGAATTTCACTTTTCTATCTCTTATACTCACAGAGTTACAAGTTACATAAAAATTCAAAGAAATTTTGAAAATTATTTGTGAGAATTTTTTCACTGTTTTATATGAATGTTAAATAAAAATCAATGGATAGAACGAAATTGTTCAAACATAACAAGAAGAAAACTTATGTCAATGCTTATCTATCTACTCTTCATCTTGATCTATCACTTGCTTCCATCAATTCGATAATTTTTCCGCTATTTGCTGACATTTTGATGGAATGAGCATTTTCCATTTTTGAATTACTTGATTTTCTTGTTCTCATTTATTCTCAAATATTTCTTCGCTCAATTTTTCTCTAATAGTATCTCAAGCTGTCTCATTTAGCCAAATGTCAGCAAATTTTCCAACATCAACTTCAAGATCAATACGCTCTTTAAGTAACAGTTCAATGGTATTCACCGTAGCTGCTATCTGATGTTTGCTATCCCGATTATCTTGAAAACTCGGTACCAAATTAGTATTTCGAAAAAATGGTATATAATACAACGAAGAAGTGATATACAGAAAACTAAGTATCTCTGTGACTATTAAGAGATAGAAAGTTCAAATTTTAGCGTAGAGTAGTAGAGACCTAGATATCTAGTATATATGCTGCAAATATTAGCCTATTATACTGAAAAGAAAACATATGAGAAAAGAATATTACTTGAAAGCAATCAAAGCTTAGTGGAAATGAGTTCATCATAGTAAATTTGATGCTTTTGTGTATACATTTTACTGTATAAAACTATTGATAGTAGGAGAGGGACGAATTTTGCCAAAGAGTTATTTTGATAACATTATGATCTTCACAATGTTACTTGTATTTCATTTATGAGGACGAGCAATTCAAGGAAGAAGAACTGCTTAGCATATGACCCCGTGTTTTTATGAAATATACCTATTTAAGTTTCATGTCATTGTGCAAAAGAAACAAGAATTAGATTTGTCAATCTATCAAATATCTCATATATAGCAACTTTTTGTATTCAAATATCATCTGTACCTATGATGATTCCATTGTAACATTATTTAGTATGTTTCTCTCGATCTTTTATTCAAAAACAGTTTTCACCTACTACTTGATTACAAAGATTGTAATGGCAAAAATTCCTATCGAAAATAAGAAATCGGTGAAAGATAGACTATCTGAGAAGAAAAATTGGCGAAGAAAATGTGAATTTGGCAGAAAGTGGCTGGAAGTCGATAAAAATCATAAGAAATGTGATGGGTAGTGACGGCAGAGCGTAACGAAAAAAGCGTGCTCTCTTATAACAACTAGATTGTTTCTATAAATTGCGTTCACCTTTTCTACGCCCAGTAGCATCAGTAAACCTTTGATCAGTGAGGAAGAGAAATGACGAGAGGTTGAATAGATCTAGAACAAAAAGATAGATATGGAAGACTGTCGAATATGTTATTACTTAATAAATTGTATCAAAGAATAAGAACAACAAGAGAGAGTAGAATAGAACGAAGTATTCATTCAGGAAGGACATGTGTAATTATCGATACATAAGATAAAGTACAACGATCTATGAAGTATAAGTTTAGTATCATCTTCGGTGTTGTATAACAGAAGCAACTAATGTCTTTCTTGAGCATTTTTATTCTAATTCAAAGATAAAATCATTCAAATAAACTAGCTCATTCTATCTTAATTTTGCAGTTTTACGTTGATCATGAAACGATAACGAATTTGTTCAAACTATTAAAAAAAGAATATCAAGCTAGTTCTAAAGTATCATATTCAGTCAATCATCTTATACTAACGCTGTCTGTTGCCTATCACATCATCAACGATAAGAAAAAATGTTGCTTGAAAGAATAGCTGATCTAAACCCAACTTAATCAATCAGCTGCATAGAGGAAGAACAATACCTTCAGAAGTTTTCACATATATCATATCATATGTTAACAGTAAGGGGGTTCAAAAGCCTACATTTCAATCCAAACTCTAATTTTTTGTGCGATATCTTCTCTGAAAATACCATTATTCGATTGAACATCAAAGTCCGCATTTATCTCAACGAAGCAAAAATTCAAACGAAATCCAAGAGGGTATGTCAGCAAGGATTACTTGAATCTACTGCTAACTGTCCTTTTGATGTTGATTGAATTCGATTATTTATTTTGCTAACCTATATTGTGTATAATTTCAATGGTAATTATAATCTTTGATGACTTAGTTCCATTACTGTTGGTTGTTTCTTTCAGAGACTTTTATCACCCTTTATATAGTTCAAAATTAGGAAAAAAAATTTATTATATTAACAAATGTTTGATCATTACTAGTCAGTTGTGAGTCCAATGTCAGTGACATCTTTTGGCAAATAGTTTCGTAATGGTATTTTATACGCAATGAATCAAACTAGTTCACACCTTTTACATATGAAAAAAAGAGAATTATCAATCATTATTCAATAATTTTTCACATGATGCTTTTTATTTTTATTTTCTTTCTATATTTTATGAGAATTAATTTTTGATCGTATCACTTGATATTTAATTAATGCATTGATTCGGTAACATTTTTTATGACTAACTTCGATATAAAATTTCTTTTTAAAGTTCATTGTCGAATGTCAAAAGTGTCAATACGTAATATTCTTAACTCATAGATGAATAGATGAAAAGTTATTTCATCAAGTTCAACAAAGTCTTAGTCATGTAAGGAAATTATTTGCTATGAATAAATTATAATATTCGCTATTCTTTATGTTCGGAATAGGTCTGACAAAGTATTAAAAATTTAATAGATTGTATCAAATCATTTCTTATCAAATGCATTTAATTGTTATATATGAGTACAAACAATTTATTGATAAGAACAGTATGAGGTTTTTCTTAGATGAGCTTATTATTAGTAGATAAAAGTTTTTATCATATCTGTCTTCATATTATACCACAGTGACTTCTGATTTGCTTGTGTTCTGGCGAATAATCTTGTGTCTTTTATTTTCGTCGCTTTTTTAAAAAAGCATAAAAAATAGAGAAAATCAGAATCATTCGACAAAACAAAAACAAATCAGAACGACCTCAAAAAAAAGATATCCAGGAAAACCAAGACCACTGCGAAGATTGTTTCTGTTTGTATCTATTTATCAATGAAACATTGTTAATCAATGTACTCAGAGATAAGAAAAAAGAACTATCTCTAAATAAACAAATCTTTGTTGCCAACATGGACAACACAAAGTTTTGAATAATACCATAAAATAATCCTTACATATTCAGTTATTCATTGACTATTTGTATCGTATTTGTTTTAGATGTAAATAGTTACGATGTGATTATTTGTTTCCTTATATTTTTGCTATATTCACTACTAGAGATTAGATAGAGAATCTTACAAGATAAATTCTTAAATGATTTTGAATATTTTGCACTCTCTTTTCTTATGTTTTGTAATGAGATATACATCATTATCATCATGACTTTTTAAAGAAAATTAGTTAATATACCAGTTGAAAATAAATAATCCTAACTGCAATGAAAAAAGACTTTTAGAGATTTTATTAAAATTATTTATAACTTTATCTCGAGCTTTCAACGAGAGTCACTCATCATTATCAGAAGAATCAATAACAAGCATAAAAAGTTACACGTACTGATACAAAAATGTGTAGAAAAAAATAGCGAGACGTGGTTTCTTTCTTTCTGTACAATTTTATGTTAAAGGGTGGGCCATAACGAATAAATATCTCAGGTTTTCACATATTTCTCAGCAGTCTTTTCAAGTAACATAACAATTTTTTTGAAAGACTTATCATACGATTCTCTACAAATCTACCTCTTTCATTGAAAGAGAGCAGTATACCTTATTTGCGTAGATCTTTTGTCAAGCTTGTTGCATTTGTTTTTAAGAATGGTTTTATCAGTCTTTCTATTAATCATAACATATTTCGTTCCATTATCTACCAGAAACTAGCTCTAATGAAGTCATCAAAAGGATTGAAGACTTAACTATTTTGGCAAATAACCATAATTGTTAATTAATAAGATAGAAATTGGTACCTCTCCTTTGAAACTTGGTGCATATAGTCATTTTTGACATTCTTATGCTTTTCATTATTCATAGAGGATATTCCGTATCTAAATAATCATATGCACAAAGTTTCAAGCAGATAATTGAGGAGAATATTTTACGATTAAAAGATAGATTGATGAGATCATTCATAAAAAATGCTTGATAAGAAAAAAAGAATTTTGAAAATAACTAATAATGAATTTATTTGTTTCATCGGCTTTACATCATCAAGATATGTTTGCTCCATTTACGTGAAAGATGTAAATTTATAGAGGATCTAAAAATGAACCTATCAAAAAGAAAAACATTGTCCCATTATAGTAAAAGGTTACTAGGAAATATGCAAAATATTGAGAGATTCATTCGTTATGAACCGGTCATTAGTAGGTGTAACTTGTTTTATTTGTGTCGTTGATAATTCGAGATAGGATCGTAAGTAAATTGAATAAAACGTAAACGTGTTTTTCGTTGCAATTAGTACTATGTATTGCGTTATTTGTTTTTGAATTAGACAATAAGTGTAGAAAAGCTACTGCTTCATTAATTCCAGTATTAGTCGATTAAAAAAGGTTTCGAGACATAGATTTCTATTGTCTTTCTACCAAGAGATTTCATACACCGAATAATAGTTCACTATCCGTTTCGAAGAATTCTTTCTTTTTAGAGGACAAATGGAAAATTAAATTAAAATATTTCATATTCATTTTCATAATAAACACATTTGTTACAGATCAACAATCCAATGCATGTTGGAGTATAGTTCTCGATTGATTCATTGATTTCTTGTCTAAGACTATAAAAAAAAGTTCATCTATTAAGTATTATGAATAGATCAAAATTAAATTATAATGATTATGTAATCTTTTTTTTTTCAATATTGTTTTTCAGAGATAAAAGGGTGCAATGAATCTTATGAATCTTGGCCGTGAACAATTGGAAAATGGCAAATTGGACGATATGCTTCGACAAGTGGGTATTAATGATGTTGGTACATTTGTAAATCAATTTCGAAATAAGGTTAATCAAGAAACTGCTCCAGAAAGCAATGTTAATAATGCAAGTGGTCGACAAGCAGCCGGTGGTCAACAAACTGATTTCATATCAATGGGATCATCATTTCTCAATCAGGTATATTTAAAACAAAAATCTGTTTTTTTTTTTCTAGAACATAAAGATCTATTAATATTTCGATATTTTTTATTTAGTTCGGTGGTGGAAGTAGCAAAGGGCAAAGCAAAGGTTCTGGAGATTTACTCAGTGGAGCCATGAATGCTTACAAAATGTTTTCGGGTAACAAAGGTAGTAGTGGAGGAGAAGGGCAAAGTGCTAGTGGTGGTGGTGGTGGTGGTGGTGGTGGTGGTGGTAATTCGGCTGATATGATTAACAATGCAATGAAAGTTTATAAAACGTTTTCAGGTGGCAAAGGGCCTAGCAGTAGTGGCACTAGCGGTGGAGGCAATATTTTTGATACTATTGGTATGTAATCAAATCATCGTATTTCTTTTTTTACTATGATACTAATATTTAAAATCAGGTACCACTTATGAGAATGCTCAACAATTACAAAGTTTGCTTAAAGCATTAGATAAAAATGGTGATGGTAAAATTACTATTGAAGATATTCAACTTCTTCTTCAAGGATTAGGACTTGGTTCTGTTTCACCACGTATGTATTTCTTAGTATCATTAAATCATTTATTTATAATTTTTTGATACATTTAGATTTATCAAAAGCTTTATTTAAAGCTATTGATAAAAATGGTAATGGTACACTTGATTTGACAGATGTTATGGCTTTAGCAGCTATAGTTAGTAAGCTTAACAGTCGATTTGGTTCAGGTGCAAATCAACAAGTTTGATCAGCTTTACACATTTGATATAAGAAAAATATTCTATAATATATCTTACTCTATATATTTAATCTTGCAGTATCATATAGTCGCTTTTTACATCTGTTGTACTAATGTGTAACTGTATTGTCATTCATTGCTTTTTATATTATCTCATTTATGTGCTTAATTAATTTACAAATAAACAATGGTATTTAACCATTACGTTTATATTCTGAATATTAATCAACTAAACAAAAATAAATTAATGATTTTGCATTTTTTGAAAAGAAAACCTACAGATGTTTTTTTTTCGCATAGAAAAAAAAATAAGTTTCAGAATTTCGATGAAATAGATCAAATACTAATATTGATGAATTGACAATGTCATAAATTTGAGTCATAAAACGTGAAAAAGTGATAGTTTTATCATTGTACCCTAAAGGAAAAAACTTTTATTTTTAATAAAAACTTTTTATCAATTTCAGGAAACAACGAGAGATGTTTCAATTGAACTCAATACTATTTTATGCTAAAGGACAACTTTCTGTTGACATAAAAACATAAATATAGTTTTTCAAAATAGATCAAAGTCAAAAGTAGAGAATTCATACGCATATTTTGTAATTATTTTAATAATTTATTGTTCTATAAGAAAAATTCTGTTTATATTATATTAAAAACAATCAAATTATATTAATGTTTATTCCTCATTATTATCCCCAAGACCAAAAATAAGAGCTTTTTGATAAGCATCGAATTTATCGAGTGATACTTTGGGTAAATCAACATTGACACCACCTAAAAAAAACTCATTTTGAATGATTTAATTTTTCAATTGTAAAACTTTACCTCCTAAAACAAGTTCTGTACTCCAATGTGTTAGAGTACAGTTATTTTCTACCATTTGTTTTCGTTTTTCTCGAAATTCATCAAGTGTTTGACCACGTACCAAAGAAATTGGACTCATGCAAACATATACAGCGATACGTAAAAGATCGACAGGTTCATTTTTGTTGCGTTCTTCGGGTGCAGTTGCTGGTGAATTACAATGAACAGTACGACTATCCCAAATGATAAGATCACCAGCTCGACAATGTACAAGTTTACCAAGCGTTTTACCTTGATTCATAATTGGATGATCGTCAGAAACTCGGACGAAGTCATTGGAATTTTTTGTCACATCAGACAATTCAGTAAAACGTAAATGTGTTCGTGGATAAACAATAAGACCACCGGTTTTTTCGCTTTGATCCGTTAATGAAACCAAACCTTGAACGCAACATTGATCGGGTTTTACTTTTGGATTTTGATCTACATGATTCCAACCACCATTTGTTTTCCATGTTGAATTATAACGCCAATCACGAAACACACCACATCCATCGAAAGAAACCAGCAATTTTTGGTCATTCCACATATGAGAAAAGACTTTTTTCACATTTCGATTTGATCGAACATTCCACAGCAAATCAGATTGACCAATACCATATCCACAAATGACACCGTGAGTACTGAAACTTGGCCTAATAAGGATAGAAAAAATTAAATTTTAACATTTAACATGAGTTTTAGTCTTTTTTTTTTACCATCCATTTGACCATGTCTCAGGATCATCTCGTCGTATGGTACCATCGCCAGCATTTTCAAGAAACTTCCATAATAAATTCTTGTTTTCAATAATTTCATCTTGATTCAGGATATCGCTAATAACAGCATAGCCGTTCTCCATCATATAAGCTAGACCATTCTTTAATGTATTATCATTCGTTACTGAGAAACGTGGTGTTGGTGTCGTGTAATCAATTTGAGTATTGATATTGTCAGAATTTTTGTTTGATTCAGTCATATTGAGTATCTAAATGTACTTGTGAGTATCTGTACTCCATTTATTTGTACTCTTACTCTCTTATATACCTTCAATAACAGTACCACTTCCTTAGACTAAATTTTGTATTACTATTTTATGACTAAAAGAGTATTGCATAAGAACAATGACCTCTAACTGTATGCCTATGCCTCGTCATTATGTGACGTATTTTTTTTGTATTGGTAAAAAATTGTCATTAAGTAAATATTTTGTCGTTCTTTCTGCTTTCATTGCGTTTTTAACCATTTGACTGTCGTCATAAGAGAAGGAGGAAGCGATTTTTCAGAAAATTTATTTCTTTTTTATGAAACAATCCTATTGCGCGCCTTAATAAAATTATGATTTTGGAAGCGCATGGTGCCCAAGGTTTGTTTTTACGCAAATACTTTTGAAAAACATACATTATGAATGGTTGCTTTACTTCTTGCAAAGACGAGACTCTTGACGAATATATGCGTCGGCGACAGCCAAAGGGTTAATCAACATAGTTGACCGTATGTTTTTTTTTTATATCGTTTATTTTCATTTATTTCCTTTAGTAAGATGATTGTTTTTGTTTCGTTTTTTTTTAGTTTTAATTAGGCAATCTTTACGCTTTATAATAGATAAATAACTTTTTCCAATGCTTAAAAATGAAAAATACCAGTAATAGAAAGTTAGTTCTTCAAGAAAGACTTATTAATTAATCTTAAATAATCGTAAAAAAAACATAGATGTGTTCGATCTATCATGTAAGTATACCCTTAGCAAAAGTCTTTTCCATACCCACCTTTCTCCATCATTCTTTTCATCTAGAACCTCTTTGGTTAAAAAAATATACGTCTCTCAATACAATTAAGCAATACTACAAATAAGTTGATTGACAGAATGTTTCACGACTAGGTTATCTCTGTTTTTGTATCTGCTAACTGTTACTCTGGTTCCGATCATCAACTTCTCTTTGTCACCGATTCGAGGCTTCTTGACGAATGTGATATAGTCGATTATATATATACAGATAAAGCAAAACTAGTAAAACAAAAAACTCGAAACATATCGAAAAAGAAGAGATAATCGAACTATGAACTGTTCTATCAACCTACTTATTTGTTGTGTTGCTCAACTGTATTGTAAGATATACATTCTTCATCGACGAAGGTTGTAATCAATCATACACTATACTAACATACAGTATTTAAGTCATTAGTGTAACCAACATTTACTTGACATCAAAGGAATTTCATGCAAAAAACGTTAGGAGAAGACTTTTGTCTTTTCAATTATTGTTGATGCATGGAAAAATAATTATTTTATGATAATGTGTGTGTTTGAATTAAAAATAAACTAATGTAAGTTATAATTTAATCGTATAAAGAAACATTTTTTTCATTATTCAAACAAGAGACCATTCGAAATGCTTTCCAAAGTACATCTGTATTTCGCTGAACATATTTCAAAACAGAGAAATTTCTTCATAACATATTTTTATAATCATGTAAAGTCAGCTTAGTGAATGAACTGAATTCAAGATACCCGTGTACTGAGTTAATTTTCAGTAGGATAGTTTTTCTGACACCCTACTTTCAATATGTTACAGGATTTTGGTTGAGTACTGTGCTGAAAATTATCTCAGTACATGGGTAATTGCCAGGTTCATATCCAGTTTCTATAGAATTCTATGAAAAATTTTTCAACAAGTTAATAGATTTAACATTGAGAAACATTTTGTAATCAAGTGATAAAAATTCCAAGGTTTGTTTGATATATTGGTAGCAGAATATCGTAAATTCAGTACATTCATTGGAGTACTTCATCAACAGCATTTGTGCTAATATGTTTTGAACCTCTATATTATTGATCTTGGTTTTGATTGTTTTTTTACTTAATTTCTATCGAAAGTGTGTGGTTATGAATATTTGATGAATATGACAATAGATATTCTTAGACACGACAAAGACAATAGAAGACAATTGAACGAACTATTACGAATTTTTGCATAACGATAGATGTCTAATATATTTGAGAAGAAAATAACTGAAAAATGATTGCAAAGTCATATATGATATTTATAGAAAATTCAAATAATTCCAATGATTGGTTTACTGTTATATTTAAGATTCTGATATATATTCAAAGATTGTTCAGTATTCACCAAATATTAAGATTAAAGTGTTCCAAAAGAAACATCGAAACTGTTGAGTTATATTATGATCAGAATTTTTTCATTAATATTTCTTGCTTTTAAACATCTGTCATTTAATACATCTTAATGGATATTTCATATATGAAAATATTGTGACACCTTTCGAGTTAATCTTTAGAATGTATCAATAAATACAAAGAATAATGTGCTGATTTAAATCAAAATTGTCAAGTCATCACAATGACCATAGACTAAACATCAATTTATTTTTAACAATTTTCTTTAATTTACAGAAAAAAACAAAAATGAGAAAATATCGTCTTATGAGTGAATGATTATATCTTTCCCCATAATAGTATTTGCTCATTAGCATCAATAGTGAGTGATTGTTTTGTTTCTCTGATGGCATCATCAGCCATTTTTTGATGAGCTTCATTGTTTGTAAAAACAGTTGAGAAATTTGCTAGGATACATAAAAAGATTTGTATAAGTCGGGAAAATCGAATTGCTGATTCGTTATAACCACATCGATAAATCATATATTTCCAAAAAAGTTCGGCATAAACATTTTGACTTCCTAAGAGACGAAATGTTCCATATAATAGACGATCATCTTTCATTTTCTCATTTATGTTCAAAATTAAACAATTTGACGAGAAAGCTAATGTGATGAGCATCAGTTTTACAAGTGTTGAATCAGGCTCTAATCTTTCATTCAAATTTTTTGTTATTAACATCATGTCTGATCCATAAACCATTGTAAATGCTTCCATACATGAAGGATTGTGAAGAATACCTGTATTACGAAAGAATAACAGTTCACTTAAACCGATAATACCATGTAAATTTCGTTCGACAAGTGAAGTTTGTTCATCAACAGTTAATATTCGAAAATCAGGTGAAGAACTAATAAATGATCGAGTTGATGTATATATTTGTCGCATAATTTCAAGTGGATTTATCATAGTAATGTGCATTGCAACAGGATGCGCTGCTAGACTATCGATAGCAAGACGTACTTGTGAATCAATGCTGTATTTATCATAAGCATGTATAATATTCGACAGTAATGCCAATTCAGAATTGTCAAGATGAGTTTGATCACCTTGAAGAATATCCAATGTTGCTAGTTGTAATGTAGTCTAAATAAAAGAAAGAGATTTATCTTTTCAATGAAGAATATTTTTTATATCAAAAATTATTTTATAGTATTGTAAGGTAATGAAAGTAAGATTTTTATGAAGTTTTCCTCCTTTAACATATACAGATATAGAACAAACTTAATTCAATTCTTTTTCTGCCCTATTAACTAAATTTGAAGAAACTCGTTTCTGAAATAACACACCGTAATCAAGATACTAAATAAATATTCATATACGCATTATTCATACAGGATATTCAGATACTTACTATCAATATTTTCTTTTTTTTTATTCACACAACTTTGCACTATACATTGTTCCAGACAATGATTCATACCACACTAGTTATCGAATAGATTAGATGAGATATTCTCATAAGGAATAGCTCTACACTGATGTCTGCTGATTGGAATGAGACTAATAAACAACATTTCAACTTAGTAAAAACAAATAAAAATAATATGTATGTTACTCATATCTAAAATAAAAACGATATCAACGTAGAAATGTATTTAGTGGAATTTCATATTACTTTTATCACTGTTACATACTCTATCGAGTACATACACATGCTATTATTTTATACTAACTGTTGTTTGTTTGGATACAACTTGTTCAGCATTGTTTGGTTTTGATGATGATGATGATGATGAGCCTTTTGATATTGTGCGATCTTCTTTACGAATTAAATTTGGACTCATACCCATCATAAGGCATTTAGCAAGACGACAAGCAGCACATGTATGTCGTGTTTGCATGTTAATTTCACAACATCCATCGAAAATACATGGACGAACATCCTATCAAATATATATTGTCTTGTCATAAGACTTTATCAACATAATTATCATTTTTAAAAACAAACTTGTGGATGAAATCCATTACGACGAAAAAATGTTTTACATGATTGACAAGAAAGTGCACCATAATTAACAATACGTGCTTTGTCACCACATATTCGACAAGTCTTTGAATTAGATGATTTTTTCAACTCTGTTCTTACAGTTGTATTGACATTGCTATGTTCTAATGAAGATGATATAGATGAATACTGTTTGAATGTCATCTTGTGTTTACTTCTTAATAAAATTCTACAAGGAAAGTTTATAACATGTCTGAATATGATCAAATTTAAGGATAGATAGAAATACTCAATTCAAAAAATTCTTGTAATCCCACAGTACAAATATCTTTCTGTTATAAATGACTTTACTCGTACGAGATCTGCTCTGATATGATAAGATATAATGATTATCCTTTAGACACCATGATTATATAGTAAATACATAAGTCTTTCGATTATTTTTAGAGTAATAAAAAGTCAAAAGATTGAAAAAACGTTTTTCTTTTGTCTATTTTCATGATTTTCTGTTTCCAAGCAATATCTTTGGCATTATATTTCAGGAGAAGCATCACAGTATCTACATCCATATATGTGCCAATTATTTATTAAAGTTCTGTGTACTCAATAGCCTGAGACATTTCTGAGTACTTGTAAAGAAAAAAGAGCATGCTGAACATTTCCATTTTACAGATATAAAAATATGAAGAAATGAAATAATGGTTTTAATCCATTAAGCCATACAGCGATATTAGTACTGTTTTTCATCAAAATATATTCTTTTTACGATAAAAATCTCAAAGATTCATGCGATGAAAATTTTATTTTAGTATCAATTGATACTATTAAATGATGAATATTGTTTTTATTTTTT